GGCGTCTCCCCTTTCACAGTGAGCCTCGGCCTCTCTTTGCAGGATGGGACTGCCCCAATCTGGGGTGCTCAGGGCTCCATCCCACCCTCCTCTTCCTCAGGGCTGTGCACGGGAGCTGGGATCTTCTCGGAGGGGCATGGAACGGGGTGGGGGAGGGGTCACTGTACAAGCAGGAACGGCCCAGCCTGCCCCCCCCCCACGGGTCATTTCTATTTTTCTTTCTAGGTTTTCAGAAATGGCACGATTATCCCTGTGAAGAGAGATTCTCTTTCATTTGTAAACGCAAATCCTAGGGGAGGCAGGTTGCCTGGATCTGGGGGGCTCCCAGCACCTGGGCTGTGAGTGAATCGGGTCCCTCCGGCTCCCCTGGGAGACCAGATCCTGTGTCCCCGGCTGCAAAATCCCTTCTGCAAAGCATCGCTGTGTTACGCTGTGTCACTCCCGCTCTGCTCTGCCCCTTTCTCTCCCTGTCACACCCACGCTCTGCTCTTCTCAGCAATCTCAGCACAGTGACGTGATAATAAACTTTCCCTCCAGCATTCAGCTCAGTGTGTGTCTCCTTTCTCGTGTTCCTGACTCTGGCATGGACAGTTCCATGTATCGCCTGGCTCCACCCTCAGCACCCCAGAACCAGTCCCTGAGCAGGAGGACAGGGACTGAACAAGGATTGAGGGCCCTGGCCCTCTGGTAAAAACACAGGGGCATCGGTACCCCCTGAGACACGGCCCATTCATCCCGCTCCCCTCTGCCCCACCCTCGGTGCTCATCCCTCCTGTCCTCATCTCAGCGCTTCCAGAGCAGGACCTGTCTAGCCTGCCTGCAATGCACCTGCTCATCTTGCAGAGCAGGAATACAAAACAAAAAAGTCTGAGCCAGGACTCCTGGGTTCCAGTCCCAGCTCTGCTGGAGGGATCCTGTGTGACCCTGGGAACGTCCCTTCTCCTCTTCCCGGTTACATTTATCTCTGTCCCTGACTGACGGGGTGTTCTCTGCCCCCAGCCTTAGACAGCCTCTCTCAGAGCGTCCCCTTGTTGTGCTGGCCCCAGGCCTCTGCTCCAGGGAAAGGGGATCTCCTGCTTCAATCCCATTCAAATAGCAGCTAGAATAGTCACCAAACTGCCAAACCGAGTGTGTGAGATTTCAGCTTTCAAATCGAACTGGCCTCCTGGCAAAGTCATAAGAACGGCCGTACTGGGTGAGACCAAAGGTCCATCCAGCCCAGTATCCTGTCTACCGACAGTGGCCAATGCCAGGTGCCCCAGAGGGAGTGAACCTAACAGGTAATGACCAAGTGATCTCTCTCCTGCCATCCATCTCCACCCTCTGACAAACAGAGGTTAGGGACACCATTCCTTACCCATCCTGGCTAATAGCCATTAATGGACTTAACCTCCATGAATTTGTCCAGTTCTCTTTTAAACACTGTTATAGTCCTAGCCTTCACAACCTCCTCAGGTAAGGAGTTCCACAGGTTGACTGTGCGCTGTGTGAAGAAGAAATTCCTTTTATTTGTTTTAAACCTGCTGCCCACTAATTTCATTTGGTGGCCCCTAGTTCTTATATTATGGGGACAAGTAAATAACTTTTCCTTATTCACTTTCTCCACACCACTCATGATTTTATATATCTCTATCATATCCCCCCCGTAGTCTCCTCTTTTCCAAGCTGAAGAGTCCTAGCCTCTTTAATCTCTCCTCATATGGGACCCGTTCCAAACCCCTAATCATTTTAGTTGCTCTTTTGAACCTTTTCTAGTGCCAGTATATCTTGTTTGAGATGAGGAGATCACATCTGTACGCAGTTTTTAAGATGAGGGCGTAACATCGATTTATATAAGGGCAATAATATTCTCAGTCTTATTCTCTATCCCCTTTTTAATTATTCCTAACATCCTGTTTACTTTTTTAACTGCTGCTGAACACTATCCACAATGACTCCAAGATCTTTTTCCTGTCTTGTTGAAGCTAAATTAGCCCCCATCATATTGTATGTATAATTGGGGTTATTTTTTCCAATGTGCATTACTTTACATTTATCCACATTCAATTTCATTTGCCATTTTGTTGCCCAATCACTTAGTTTTGTGAGGTTTCTTTGAAGTTCTTCACAGTCTGCGTTGGTCTTAACTATCTTGAGCAGTTTAGTAACATCTGCAAACTTTTCCACCTCACTGTTTACCCCTTTCTCCAGATCATTTATGAATAAGTTGAATAGGATCGGTTCTAGGACTGACCCATGGGGAACACCACTAGTTACCCCTCTCCATTCTGAGAATTTATCATTTATTCCTACCCTTTGTTCCCTGTCTTTTAACCAGTTCTCAATCCATGAAAGTATCTTCCCTCTTATCCCATGACAACGTAATTTACTTAAGAGCCTTTGACAAGGTCCTCACCAAAGGCTTTCTGGAAATCTAAGTACCTTTACAGAAACCATGTTGACTTTTGCCCAACAATTTATGTTCTTCTAGGTGTCTGACAATTTTATTCTTTACTATTGTTTCAACTTATTTGCCCGGTACTGACATTAGGCTTACCAGTCTGTAATTGCCGGGATCACCTCTAGAGCCCTTTTTAAATATTGGCGTAACATTAGCTATCTTCCAGTCATTGGGTACAGAAGCCGATTTAAAGGACAGGTTACAAACCATAGTTAACAGTTCCACAATTTCACATTTGAGTTCTTTCAGAACTCTTGGGTGAATGCCGTCTGGTCCCGGTGACTTGTTACTGTTAAGTTTACCAATTAATTCCAAAATCTCCTCTAGTGACACTTCAATCTGTGACAGTTCCTCCGATTTGTCACCTACAAAGGATGGCTCAGGTTTGGGAATCTCCCTAATATCCTCAGCTGTGAAGATCTAAACACATAATTCATTTAGCTTCTTCGCAATGACTTAATCATCTTTTTTTATCTCGATCATCAAGGGGCCCCACTGGTTGTTTAGCAGGCTTCCTGCTTTTGATGTACTTAAAAAATATTTTGTTATTACCTTTGGAGTTTTTGGCCAGCCGTTCTTCAAACTCCTCTTTGGCTTTTCTTAGCGTTTATGCTCCTTTCTATTTACCTCACTAGGATTGGACTTCCACTTTTTAAAAGATGCCTTTTTCTCTCTCACTGCTTCTTTTACATGGTTGTTAAGCCATGGTGGCTCTCTTTTAGTTCTTTTACTGTGTTTCTTAATTTGGGGTATACATTGAAGTGGGGCCTCTATTATGGTGTCTTTTCAAAGCATGCAGCTTGCAGGGATTTCACTCTAGTCACTGTACCTTTTAACTTCTCAGAAAGAACAGGAGTACTCGTGGCACCTTAGAGACTAACTACTCTGAAATCTTTTAATTTCTGTTTAACTAACCCCCTCATTTGAATTACCAGGCAGGACAGGCCCCGCCACATGGCACTGACGGCTCTGAGGGCTGATCTTTTCCTGGCCATGCTCCAGAGCATCAGGTACGACTGACCAGAGGGTCCTGCACAGAGGGCTTCAGCCACCCCTCTCAGACCTGTGACGGGCACCAGCTCCTGCCCCCCGAGCACCCCACATCTCCTCTAGAGCATCCTGCAGGGATCCAGCCTCTCCCCGTCCTGCTCAGCACCCACCCCACACTGCTAGGAATATGGACCGCAGGGCCAGGCACTGAGCTCTCCTGCACAGACCATTTGGGTGTCACCATTTTATTGCCCCATTAAGAGGTGACAGTTGCTGCCACACTTGCAATTTCCTTTGTAATCTAGCAGTTCTGGTGCCTCAGGACCCAGCCCTGAGTGAGCAACTGACCCAGCCTGCAATGAGCTGAGATAACAAAGTGCCGGCTCATTGCCTCCGGGCAGGGGCTGGAGGAGCTCTCTGCTCTCTGGGGTAACCAGGCTCCTCTGACTCTCCCTGCAGCCCGACACAGCTCCGTATGGTTTGGCCTTTGCATTAGGCTTGGCCAGCTGCTGCTGTGCAGGGCGAGGTCATTGCTGGCTTCTGTCTTTATGTTTAATTGTGGTTTTAAATAACCATTGAAGCACAAGAGTGTAGGAAAGGCACCTTTTCTACCAGTCATATAAATCCAGAGACAGGGAAGAATACAGTAACAGGAGAGAAGAGGGCAATGCAGGGGTACAGAGTGATCTGAGCTGCTTGGTACCTGGGGCGCAATCAAACAATGTGCATCTTAACACAGGGAAACACAAAGCGTGTGTGTAGGGACAGAAGGGTGAGGATGGCAAAGTGAGTTAAATCTTTGCTGTGACAGCATATTGCTCCCCTGTGGTGCCAGTGGGGCAATGAGCCTGGGCTGCCTGTTACAGACCCTGCTGGGGAAGAGGCTGTAGACTCAGGATCTGTTATCTGGGGACTTGGGCACAGGCTCAACTCACTGAAGCAAAAACTTGTGAGGGGCCTGGGGCACGCTGGAAGCCTTGGTTTTCACAGATGTTAAAACCAGAAGGGACCATTGTGATCATCTAGTCTGATCTTCCGTATAGTACAGGCCAGAGAACCAGCCAGGGCGCTGTGGAGTGATGGTCTGAGACCTGAATCAGTGACTGTACAGGAACTCTGGGCTCTGATTAGCTGAGACAATTGCACCCAGCCGGCAACTCAGCATATCCATGCTGTCCCTCCAACTAATGAATGTTTCCATCCCAGGGATCAGGTACTGTAACATCCTGCTGCCCCAGGGTGTGTGCCAAAAAACTTCTCTCCAATCATTTCCTCAGAGTTCTGGCTCTGAACGCAGCTGCTCTATGTTCTTTGGCCAAGATTTACAACAAGGCCTCAGTTTGGGTATCCTCAGCTGGTGATCCCATAATGAGGCAGCAGTGCTCAGCAGTCAGCCCCTGAGAATCAGGCCCCATTGTAGCTAAATTAGCCCCCATCAATCAGGAAAGAGATCTTGGAGTCATCACGGATAGTTCTCTGAAGACATCCATGCAGCGGCAGTCAAAAAAGCAAACAGGATGTTAGGAATCATTAAAAAAAGGGATAGAGAATAAGAGGGAGAATATCTTATTGCCCTTATCTCAAATACAGATGTGGTCTCCTCAGAAGATAACAAGGTTCTTGTCCCAGATGCAGACTACACAGAATATGAAAAGGCCCCTCAGGGATATGACAGGATGCTCACACTGAGACCAGTATAGTCTTAAAGACTTTTATTAAGATAAATGGAATTATGATCAAATAGTAACTAAATAGCAAAATAATCAGAGTTACAAATGCAATACTATTATTTTAAAGACACATATGATGTTACATACTATAAAGCCTTTGATTAATACACTCACACCCTTTCTTGATGACCTGGTAATAAGAGACAAAGGATCAGCCTCGCCTCGGGTTCCTCAGTTCTTTAGTGGGAGGTGCAGAGCTCGAAGAAGCTAGAGAGCTAAGAGCTACAAGCTATTGAAGTTAACTTAGAATTTCCCTTAACTAACTGACTTAAAACTTAAAATTAAACTAACAGACTAATAAACAAAGAAAGATGCTTGGATCTTAGAAACTTAGATACCTAACTTTTTAGATACTTAGACACTTAGATTCTTAGATTTTCTTG